TAGATCATAGAAAATCAATACGTTTCTTACTTAAACTGTATCTGGCTTCCACTGGTAATCTTAACGCGTTGCTTATCATCCATGACATCGCCCTTTAGCTTCAGCCGCACAGTGAACCTAATATTTTGATCATTAGCACTATAGATAACCTGTTTTAGCTCATTACAAAGAAGATATAGTGATAACACTCACGAATAAGTCCCATTTGTAGCGTTGTTACATTTTACATCTCCGTCAGCGTAACTCCTGATATAAAAAATAAATAAGTTCAATAACATATGCGTAATTGGACACCTACCAAGATGTAGTATTCGTCAGGGATCGGACTGGTACTGAAACAAACTGCTTTCCATTTTGTACAACAATGTTAACACCTTCGAGATAGAGCATGCATGAGCCGAGATCAGGTCTAAAATGTACAATACGCTAAAGGCGGAAAAAACGAGTACTTCATATCGAAGGTGAGGTACTGAACTAATATCATCGTTGAAAAGTTTCGAATTCCCAGCAAAACGAAAAAGATCAATTAGCCCGAAGACTGCACTCATGGACGAAAAAATCCGCTTTGCAATACTAGTAATTTCCTTAGGAAAACATAATTCGAACAAACTTAGGGTAGTGCTATAGTGACATGAGTCAAAATGCATAATTTTAATTGATGTAGCTAGAATTTCTACGGATCAATCTCTGACTAGTGCATAATCCACTCAACAAGGGAACTAGAACCAAAACATATTTCGCAAAATTACAAGTAATAAAGAAGTTACTCACAGCCCAGGCTTAACATCGGGATAACTAGTCCTATTATATGGTGGCAGCGTCACGGGCAAGTCAAGATCGGGTCCCGCTGTAAGCAGATTTCATAAACTATGAAAAATAAGTTGGACCTGCTGACTTACCGTTGCCTGGTGTTCCAGATGGATTAGCATCGTTCTGCTCCATATCAGATGTAGTCACACGTTTGTCCCTTTGCTAAATTTAACAGAGAATATTATGCTTTACCTAAAGCACTTAGCAAAATATCACCAAAGTGGCGGAAACAGCTTCGGTTGCTGTGATGACAGCGGTGTACTTGTTTCCAAGTTTAGACAAAACAGTCTCAGCTAGTGACTGCATGCTTGTCCAGTCATCACCAGCAATGATATAAACAGCCGCATCGTCGACAAAATTGTCCGCAGAAGTAACGGTTTTAGCATTTGGAGCCTGACGAGTACTCAGTACAAGAAATACAAAGTAGATTATGAAAAAAGTGTCCAAGTGAACACTTACATTAACGTTTTCCGACAAATATCGACTTGCATAATTTTTAGCGGATTTGACAGTAGCTGGAAGCCCAGTTACCTTCTTATCAACTGAATATGCATGAGCTTCTCGCGAAAATTGTCCTTAAAAAGTAAACGGT